GGGTAGGAGTACAAAAAAAGCTCTAACTTTTTTCTGAGAAATCTGACTAAATGACTTAAAACATATCACTGTTTTATAAAAATATTACCAATATCCCTAAAACTATTGTAAGCATTTTTACTTTTATCGTGTATGAAAACACTAATGAATGTCTTCGTGCGATTTTTTTGGTTATTAAAAAAAGAATAAAGGACAAAACAAATAAAATATTGCACGAATACATACAACACATGATTGAATTTAAAACATATTTTCATATCGGAAGAATGACTCAAAGCAAGGATTGCATCGTTTCCTTTATAAAAGGGTACATGATTTAAGAGCCAACGATTTTCCAGCACGTACAGAATTTTGCTGTTGGATTCTAAGCCACCAACATAATTTTTTATGGTCGGATGAGGATAGTACTCATTTTTGAAGCCTCGAGAATTCGAGAGTTTTTCGAAAGGCAAACTTCCATTATATGTCCTCTTTCAATGTATGGGCAGGTGTGAAAGGGGATATCTGATAGGATCGATTTTTTTCCCAAATAGGTTACATACCCATAATTATTTAAATTTTCTACATCATGATCTACAAGAATTGCTACAGGACATTCCTATAAGCATTCGGTTAGAAACGTTCTTCCGGCATGATGGGGATCCCGCCCACTTTGGCCAACATGTGAGAAATTGGCTATATCAACATTTTTGAAGCAGGTGGATAGGTTGAGGTGGCCCAGTAAACTGGCCAGCTCGATCGCCTGATCTAAATCCTTCGGATTATTATCTGCCTGTGAATACATATGTCCAATATTATTTATGCCACAAAAGTAGATAGCCCAGAAGAGCTTCTAAGGCGGATTTGCGCCGCCGGAAATCAAATAGAACGAACCTCTTTTGAAATTCTCCGTGCCACCCAACATACTAGGAAAAGGTCCAGAGTGTGTCCAGTCAAGAAAATGGAAATTTGTTTCAATACTCTGGTAAATTAGTGTCGATAATAATTTTAACTTTATTGTGATTTATGTTCCTGACTGCGTAAATAAAAATAAACTGCAATAATATTAACTTAAAATATAAAATGTGTATGGAGAGCAGTAATATTTTTAAAGTCATTTAGTTGGGAAATGGTGTGTCTGAGCGAAGTAAATTAAGAGTACCTTTTCTTCGTAAAATACTTCAGATTTTCACAATTTGCAGAAAAAAGGTTGATTTACAGTCTCAGAAAAAAGTTAGAGCTTTTTTAACCTCTACCCCCCCAAATGATACGTCCATGATATACAGGGTTGCTCATTAGTGCGTCAAAGTGCGATATCTCAGTAAATATGAAGTTTACAAGAAAATTCGTCCAACGAAAGTTTTTCACGTTTAAAAGGTCCACATTCTAAAATTACTTTCCAATATACAGGGTGCATCATAAACGTGTGGTAGTTACCAACTCTGGTTTTTTAAATGAAACCCCCCCTTTTTTTTGTTATTTTCAGATTGGCCGTTCAATTTTAATTTATGTTTGTTTCAACCGTTTTACCTGAAAAATTTACGATTTCCAAGTTATTCGTAAAAATGTGAAAGTTTTGACAGCTACTGGGTTCCACAGAAATCGATGCTGTACACTACCCGCTGCGAATTTTGGAAAACAGTTTT